GGACATGTCCGGGAAAATCCAGACGTATGGTAACCCTATCTTCCTCCACCAGCCATTGCTTGATTCACAGAGAAAAATCCCCCCCCGCCCAACAATATACCAGAGGAAATACTATTTTGCAAAAGCTTCTTTAGCAGTCAGTTGCTTTCAGTGGCTTCCTTCCCTTTTCATGCTTGCAAAGAAATAGGGCTAATCAAAAAAAAAAAATTGGAATTCCTAATATTAACATTGTTTGTCAAGTTTCAAATTTTGAAAAAAAAGTTAATATTTTTGAGAAACACCAAACTTTCAATTCATTTTATCCAGCTCTGTAGTCCAGCCTCTTACCCTTCAAGCCTCCCCTTATGACCAGGTGTTTGAGAGCAGTGGCCTGGCCTCTGTTTCCCTTATTGTACCAGTTCAGAAGTGTGATCTATAGCACTTGGCCTCTCTTTACAGCTCCAGCCCTCTGGCTGGGCCATTGGAATCTCTCCCCCTTTGGGATAGGAAGGGGTCTCTCCCCAAGGGCCTGTGACTGGCTTCCACCCTGTAGTCCTGGGTTCCAACATCCCTCTCTCCCTTCGTCACCAGGGAAGGAACAAAGGGAAGTCAAAACAGGAACCAAAATAAAGTCCAGTAGTTTTACATTCGGATCACACACACACCCCACCACCACTGCCGCCCCAGATCTGGGGTTTCAGCAGTCTCTGCCCTCCTTCAGCATCAAGGTGGTATAGGGATACCCTGGCCCACTCTTTTCTCTGGGTCCCAGTGCAGGGGCACTATGTTAGGCAGACTGCACAAGTAAGTCTCCTACTACCCCTTTAGGCTGCTTCCTACCTATGGCCTTTGCAAGTATCTGGTGTGTAGCAACCATCCCTGAACCTTCTACCAGAAAATTAGCCTCTCTGGGCAGCTTCCTCCCCGTATCTGATGCTGTAGAGTTCCTCCCCAATGGCTCTCCAGCAGCTACCCTACCCTGCTCTGTCTGGGGGCAGCTTTTTTGCCCAGCTGTCACTAACCAGACATTTAGCCACAGCCAGGGAAGTGATCGCTCTCTTCATTAACTCTTTAGTGTCTGATGCCATCTGTGGGGTCTAGACACCACATCACAGCATTCCATTGGGTTACAAATTCAAGGGATGGTCTCAGGGAAGTCACATCCTTGACCATATTCATAGACTCCTTATTTTCCTAAGGGATGTAAGCCCCTATTGCCAGAAAAAGGAAGGAGGAAAAGGAAGGAGGAGCTGCCACCCACACCAAGACCTCTGCTTTCAGGGACTCTAAAAAACAGGAAGAAAGTTGGGCTTTGTCTATGCTACAGATGTCTGCCGCCAGTGTCTGCAATCAGTGGGTGTGACTGCAGCTTGAGTAGAGGTCCCTGAGCTTTAATCTAGCTATCTCAGGTACTGGAGCAGTGAAGCTATGGCAATATAGACTTCAGTGTGGGCTGTACAAGCCCACGCAGAACCCAGGGTAATTGCCTGGATGGCTAGCCCGCATGAAAGTGGGCACTGCTGTAGCTCCACTGCTCCGGAACCCGAGCTAGTTAGATTGAGCCTAGTTTAGGTATGTCTGTTTGAGCTGCAATCACACCCCAGGACTGCACTATAAACATACATTTGTTTTCCTTGTTGGGGGGTGGTTTTACTATACTGGTAAAACATGAAGCTTTGCTGGTATAAGCGCTATGCCCACACTGTAGTGCTTTGTTGGTATAGCAAACCAGTATTTTTGTAGCAGTAATGTGCTCCTAGTGTTGACACAGCCTATTTCACCAAGCAAACCTGTTCTTGTCTAACACTGTGCTTTCTTTGAAGCCAAACTTCTGCAACATCTGAATGTGTTCAGAGCCAGAGTTTTGGTGAGGGCCAATCTCTAGAAACCACATTACAAACAATAAATGAGAACACAATCATGGGAAATTCCAAACTAATGAGGATTAAAAACAGTACCTTTAAAACATTTTAGAAAATGACTAAAAACTGCAGATATTAGATCACCCTAACCACAAAGGCAAAGCTGTTTGTGGGCTAAACCCTCATCTCAGCTCCAAAAGATAAGATACTGCAGTAGATGAGTGAAATGAACTTACACCACAAAACATTCCCCCTCCCCCTCCGCCCCGACTTCCAGGTACACAACATGAGATAAAGGTCTGTGTAATGTGGAAAGTTAAGAGTAAACTTAAGAAGAACCTTATTTCTGATAGTTCATGTACAGAGTTCTATCTAGATTTTCATTCTGCGTATAATTGATTTAAAGTTCTTTAATTTGGAACAAAAAGTAAAATATTAAACCTCTCTGAACGCTACATCTAATCACTCCACTTATTTTGTGATATATAGGGAATTATTTATTAGTTTTTATTTTGCTTGTAAATTCTTTGGGGCAGGAACCATCTTTTATTTATATGTATGTACAGCACTTTGCAAAATGGAGCCCTAGTATATGACTGGGACAGGCACAATACTGGCCCTCACAATAGAAATAACATATAATAAATAATAATAATAATAATAATAATAAGATGAAATAATATCACTGAGCTAAATATTATAATATTAAAAACACGGCATAAGAATTATTATATGCATAAATCCAATCTACATATCAGCCTCTGTATTATGTTGCAAAGTGCAAGAAAATTACATAGACATC